GTTTGTATTCACAATTCAATCCCTTAGACCGCTTCTTCAAAGCCACCCTTATTTACTCGCAGACTATCAAACTTAAAAAATATAAAATCGAAATATTTTAAAGTTTAATAAGTCTGGTTAGAGTACTGACTTGGCTAAATATTCCATAGACAAGTCGAACTTATTTTTTCTGAATTCTGAATGCTATGAGAATTATATAACTCGTTGCAAAAGGCAATTTGCTCAAAATCCAAAACAGTTTTACAATTTTGTAAACTTGAAGCGTAAATCTTTAAGTCTGAAATCTTTTTTTTCTCTCGGGATGGATAAAGCTAGCAAATGATTCCGATTCTGCTTACCTCTTTGCTAATTTTTTCCAATCAACCTACTCTTAAGTCTGTCCTAATAATAATTCTTACCATTACAATATTACTTCATCCGGCTCTATACCAGCTCCTATTATTTCCCAATCCTCTCTCCTTTCTGCTATAAATTCTTAAAAATCTTCTTACTCTCCTGGGCCTGAAAATATTCCGTGTTGTCTACTCACGGAGTGTAGTTCTTCCCTTCTTCGTCCATTGCTTAAGCTTTTCAATCTATCCCTTTAAACTGCTGTCTTTCCATCTCTTTGGAAATAATCTTATATCATTCCTCTCCACAAGAAAGGTGGAATGTCTGATATACAAAATTACAAAACTGTCCGATATCCCCAAATATCTTGAAAAACTAATCACTTTGAACTTGCAGCATTTCTGCAAATCAATTGTCTCCCCTGTTCAACATAGATTCGTAAAGAATGGGTCCTTCCTTGGTAAATTATGCTTTTCTTACTAAAATGCAAACTAACGTCATTTACACTGAGTTCAGTAAGGCGTTTGACTCTGTGCACCATGATATTTTACTTCTTAAGCTTGACCGATTAGGATTCCCTCCAAAGAGTAATGCTGAGGCAGACTACCTCTAAACAGGTTCAGGTTACTTCTGGTACTCCTCATGGTAGTCATCATGGTCCTTTACTCTTTACTCTTTTTATATATGATCTCCCCTCGGTTATATTACATGCCCGGGTACTTATGTATACAGACGATGTGAAACTTATTCTATCATACACTAATCTCCTACACCATTCTCGTCTACAAGATAATTTTAACGCGATGCAACTTTGGGGTTCGGTCAATCAATTGCATCGTATGTTTATGACCTTTAATCGTACTACACCCTATCTTGTTAGTTATACAATTGACAATACTCCATTGCAACGTATACTAACAGTTAAGGATCTAGGCGTTCATTTTGATACTAAACTCAGCTTCAATCTGCAAAAGGTGTACTTGGATCCATTTATAGATGGTCGGATTAGTTTAGCCCCATCCTTGAATACTGCTCTTGCATTTGGTCTCCGCAGTATAAGTATAACCGCAATAGCCAGTATAGTATTGAATCTGTTCAGAAGCAATTTCTGTTTTTTGCCTTACGAGGTTTAAATAGGGATCCCAATCTTCGGCTGCCATCCTACTCCAGCAGGCTGCTTCTTCTTAATCTTCCGTCGTTAACCAACCGTACGACAATCTTCGGTGTTGTCTTCATACATAGGTTGATTGTTGGCGACATAGATTCCCCTTTTCTGTTAGGGCGTCTTTAATTCTCTATTCCGTCCAGACCTACCGGGAATTATCGCACTTCACACCTACACAATAGATTACGCTATGCACAATTCTTTTCGTGTACTACGTTAAAATTACAATACTTTGTATCACGTTTTCTCCACCGAATTTCCTCTACCCCTTATTAAATCGTTGCTTTCAGGATAACTACGGGAACTCACTGACCATTCCCAGCTATGAGCACGGGCATACATAGCTTGCCGGACAGGGTATGTCTTTTCCCCCAATGGGTCAGTGATTTCCTATCACTATCTCTTTATCCTATCTACTTAACACTCTATATATCTAGTATAAATTTCTTTACTTTAATCATAACTTCTTTCTTTACTTTTTTCTATGTGGTGTATTTTCTTAAATAATATAGTAATTTAAGATTATATTTAATTTTTACTTAAGAACATTATTTTCTCTACTAACACCCTTCTTCTTAGCTGTAGGCTCTTATAGCGTCACTGACAAAATTGGCTGTGAAAAGGGGCAAGCTGGTCGGACGGGCAAATAATTAAAGTAATATATTATTAGGGTCTTTTATAATAATGCATGTATTAAATAATGTATTACTTTATTGTACACGACGATCGCACACAAAAAGCCTTAAGCTGTGACGTCACATGCGCAACAGAAAGTTGCAATCTTCTCAAATTCATATGCTTCCCTTGGCTTGGAAAACACACACATGCATATTTTTTGCCAATGTGTGTGAGATGAGACACACATGCCAACAACTATTTGGCGTGTCGAGGCATTGATACCCTTATTTATAGAAATGGTATAGAATGTTTAGAGAAAACAATTATTATTGATTGTACTAATAGTTGCACACTAAATACGAAATTATATATTTCTCAGAGATTAGATAAAAATGTGTATATGAGAAGGTTATTTAGTTACAGAACTTATGAATAGTTAAAATACCCTATTTTGAGAAAGGGTGCCTTGCTGATCGAAAAATGAAAAATTATAAAATCTGCCTGGCTGCTTGCAAGTTGAAAGCGAGTGGAGAAGAAGAAGACATGACTTTGCGAATTAAAGGCATAGCAGTGCTTCGAAGCCACAACAATGAGTTAGAAGAGTGTAGAAGCGTAGATCATAGGCTGTAGCTTCAAACCAAAAAGGGATAGCAGGGACAGAATTTGGGGTGTGCTTTTTTCATTGTCGAGTCGTTTGTTTTGATTATGGTTGGTTGTTGGTTCATATGGGAAATGTTCTGAAGTTGTATTTGATTTTTGGGCAACGGCAGAAGTGGCTGTAGACAGCCTGGTGTTGTGCTTGCAATTTTTCATTGAGTAATACTCAATTGAGTTTGCAACCTTGCTATCGCTCGTGAACTGTTTCGAAAAAGAGCTTTTGATCCAAAAGCCTCGATAATAATACTCGATACAATTAGTAGATATCAATAAGTGTTGAGCAACTCTATTAAATTTTAGCTTATACAATCGGCTTCATTATTTTTTAACAATTTTATATTCGAGTTTTCTTGTTTACTGTGGGAACCTATTTTGCTTAAAATAAAATAAACAAGTAAGAGGTTCTAGTCGGGAGCTCCCGACTAGGGGATACTCTGAACCCTCTTATTCCAACCCCAAATGCAGCTCGCGTTACACGCACGTTTGCTTATGTAATAAAAGTAAATTAAAAAAAAAAGTTCCCTTGGCGAACTCGCAACTGATCGCGCTACTTTTCGACGCTTCTACGCAGTACCACTAACCAAATAACATATAGACCGGACAAACCGTACTTTTGATGGTGACATTCGTTATTTTTGCGGCTGGTCCAAACTCGCCTTCGTTTTTGTTCGGGTTCGAGACATGCCCGCATGCTCTCAGAGCAAGAGAGTAAAAATACATATGCCCTGTGTCGTGGAACGGCAACGCTGTCTTTTTACTCGCTCACTCTACAAGAAACTGCTTTGGCTTACTGCCTGCCTGTCCGATGCAAATATGACAATATTTTGGGATTTCTGAATTTCGAGCTCTACACACACACACACACAGACACAAATGTGTGTGATTGGGCAGATCATGGGCGCAAACGAAAATATCATTTTTGGCCAGCGGTTGTCGCGCACCCTTCTTTTTATGATTTTGGGTTACACATTTCTGAAAATGTTACATTTTTGAAAATGTGTAAATTTGCCCCGAACAGTTCGTGTTTTGTGCGATGATTTATCGAGTTTTCTATCGATTTCTGAAAAATGTGAATGTGTTCATTACCATAAACAGCTGATATTGCAACGAAGGCAAGCGGTAACTTTAAATTATAATTTTAAATTTTAATAATCCCCACAGTTTTTAACATTTAAAGTTGGCCAAATCCCGCAAAGAGTCCATTAAATCGATCCCCTACTTTGGGGCCGTATTATTTGACTTTTGGAAGGAAATCTTTGCGGCGCTTGTGTAAATTAAGGCAACTCGATCAGCTGTTTATTTTAATAAGCGGTGGAGCACCAATATGTGAAACTTCAAAATGTGACATTTCTTAAGCCTAGTGGAGAAAGGCTATTACTCTCTTTGGGCAAAACTAAAAGGTCGCAAACACTTATGGGAATCACTCGAATTCCAAATTCATGTTTCGATTATTCTAACATATTAAGCATCTACATATTGTATGGTTAGTGGTTATGGGTATAAATATATTGTACCTCGAGAATCTTTAAATTTGATAAGTTTTTTTATAAAAATAACTAGAAAAATATGTTGCAGACTCTTGGGGCACATATTTAACGTATTAGAATAAAGCGAAAAGAAAATATTACCTAACCTGGAGATCGACAAGAGTTGAAGATAATACATTTTCAACGAACGATGCTGATCCTCAGTACTTGGCAGCCATAAACCGTGCACAATGAATCATAATAAATAACAATATTTTACACATAATAACTAATCAAACAAGGAGAAAACTGGCGAAGAGCAGGCATAACAACAAGAGCACCTCCATGTTTCACTGTGATTCAAATGATAAAGACATGCCACAAAAAGGTTGCCGCCTAACAACAAAATGTCTCGCCACAAAAAACAATTAAAACTGGGAAACAAAGCAAAAAACCAAAACACTAAACAGACCAATATGTGAAGCACGCCTTAACTTCAAACCTAACAAGATAAATCCCCTTTCCAGCTAGAAAAAAGAACATAAGTTAAAAACACTGTCCCAGGTTCCACTTTGTGTTCAGTCAAAGAATTTGCTTGAATTAACCTTGAATAATGAGCTGTTTTCACTTTTAAGGTAAGTGTCTCCTGTTCTCTCTGCATGAGTATCTGTGCTGTGTGACGCAGCGACAACCGGAAACGGAAACGGCGGTACTGCGCGTGAGGTGAGGCTCGTGTAATCACCAAAAGGAAATATTGAAGTTACCGTGATGACCTTAATGGCGCAAATTTCGTCAACATTATATTGTGAGCTTTTATGGACTTGATCCACTACCCAAGGAATTGAACCGCTACTAAGTCCTCTATCTATGTTTTACGTAGATACCAACAACAACAACAGATACCGCACATCATAATGCTTATTTTTTGCCTAATTTAAGGAACCAAATAAGAATAAATTTAAAACGTTTACTAAAAATGTTTTTGCTATAAATTGTACTTGCTTTGAATCAAAAGCATCCTTTGCGAGATAAAAAAATTGCCAAAATCTGTGATATCACAGTGACCTGAATCAAAGTCAGCTGGTTACCAACACGACCTTTGCGGATGCTGGTAATTGGCTCAAATGTCTCCTTGTACAACAGTATGTGTGTGTGTGTGCATGCGTATAAGCTTTGCATATCAACACCCAATAAACACTAAATAAACAACATGGAGCGAGAATACCACTGTGACTGGAATCAGAGCATTGGGGTGACAACAAATACCACTCAATCAATATATGAGTTCATCATACGCCACGTATACAATGTACATAATAATACAAATAAAGTAAAAATAGCAAAAGATTAAGAAATACATTCAAAAGTAAAACAGGCAATCAACATTCGTTTTTTGACTTCTTCGCTTTTCGTATTTTGCTTGCTGGCTACACTTGTAATCTACAAATGTAATAAAACGTGTCTCAAAAGTTCTACGCTTTGATTATTCAACTACGAGAAAAAAACAAAAGCTATTAGCTTATAATTTTGATATAATTTTGAAAATGTAAATTTGAAGCGATCGTGTACATCTAACTGTTAGTAGATAAAATAAATCTATGCTAATTTTTTAGTATATTTATTTATTTAACATTTATATTTTAATTTATGCCTATACCGAGTTGCCACAACCGGGCAGAAAGTTTGGTTAACGAGCGTTGTCTGTTAGTAGATAAAAACAATCTATTCTAATTTTTTAGTATATTTATTTATTTAAAATTTATATTTTATTATATGCCTATACCGAGTTGCCCAACCGGGCAGAAAGTTTGGCTAACGAGTGTTGTCCGGTTATGGGAAAATATAATAAAAATTATACGAGGAGCTGTATATACGTTAATGTGTAAACGAAGCCTGAAAATTAGGACTTAGGAGGAATTTCCCAGTTACTGATTTTTCTTCGGTTCACGCACATTGAATTCGATGGTATACGAAAAGCGGTCTGAAAGTCTTTTTATATATTTTCAAAATATTTTTTCCATGCTCGGCAATTGCGACCTAAACTATTCTACTCACATATCTCAACAACCCCATTTAATTTTTATCATGCCGCAGCTAATCTATCTTTGAGGTTGACTGCCGCAACATTGCCTATCTGGTAGCACAATTTTGGGGTATGGGCAAAGTGTGATGGTAGTTTAACTGTTGATTGCGTCATACTCTCGGCATCACATCAGGCGTAAGTGAACGAAAATTAATTCATAAAATGCGAGGCGCAAATGCATGGCAAACACAACGTTGCGCGTTCAAAAGTGTAAATAATATGTGTGCTTAGTCTGTAAAGCGCAGAGTAATGAGGAGAGCATATATTCATGTTCATATGCGTGTATGTTAGTGTGTGACTGTATTTGTAGACCTGCTCTTTGAACTTGTTAAGTTGGCAGTCTAAAAATTCATCACCATCAGACGCCGCTCTGTACGAAGGCAATAACAAAATCTCCCATAAAGAAACATTGTAAACTAAATTGCGGATTCCTACAGAAGGTACTCCTAAAGGGGGACAGGTGGAAGCGCGTGGTTTCAGCAAATTGAATAAATAAACTGCCTTTGGCAGCGGAAGCTGCACTCAAAATCGTTGACACTAAAATTCTGCAGAGCAATGTAAATAACATAAGCCAGTTAACGTCAAATTTCACATAGTGCCGACCCCATATCAAAAATTGAGTTGACTACCGTCGGGGATAAAGATTGTACTAAGCAGTCAAGATAATCAAAAACAATATATTTTTTTCTGAAAAATTAGTATAAGTTGCCAAAATATTATTATTTAGACTAAGTAGTTCAACCTGAATGTTTTATACGCAAGAAGGACCTCGCCGAATGCTTAGAATAACTTTAACAATTTCACGTACTGCCAATAGCAATGTTATCATTAATACCCTGTACCATATAAGTGGGTATAAAGGATATAATGAACCAGCAGATGGCGTCATCTAGGAACTCTACATATTCATGACCAGTTCATCTGTCCATCCAACTATCTGTGATAACAAATCGATCGCAAATGCTATAGGATCAATTTCTACCTTGCTATAGATAGGCGATGGAAACATATTTTGCAGTGGAATCTGGATATAGTGAATAGAATATTTATTATTTTTGCAAGGCGATACTGTTTTTGCCCTGAGAGATAAACATTGTGACAAGGATCTACACATGGATTATATAATGTCAAACTATCTTATATATAGAATATATTTAACATATTCGTACCATTCGTAGAGTATCAAATATATTCTAACACAAATTCTATTTGAAAATATGTATTTCTGGAATATAATGTAAATAATACCTGGTAGTTTTATCTTCGTCCTGGCAATTCCTCACTACATTTAGCTCCAGTCGAAAAGCTCACATTTGAAATATTGGAAAAGGGAAAGTTGCTAATTTCTTATTTTATTTCCGTGGGATACGTGCGGCTATCAGTCTGAATTAAGCACATATCCTTCAATGCTTGTTGGCCGCTGTTTTGTTGCCATTGTTTGGTGACACAAAAGTTTCTGCTGGTCATAAAATCGGAGGTAAGAGAGCTAGGATAAGAGCCAGCATCATCTGTTTTAATTATCGGCGAGAGCTCGATTAACGCAAATTAAATTGCGTTGGGTAACTTAATTTTACTCATGATTAACGCATTTTGCTCTTAATATCAGTCACACACACACATTAATACTCCCACACATACTGACGCTAAGGCTTCTGAATTTGTTGAAAAATTTTTAAAACGCGTGAATTTTTTTGCAACAAACCCAAAACCTTTGGGCCCCTTCTTTTACGGCTTATCCCTCAAACAACCAGCCAAGTTGAAGGCGTCTCGAAAGACGTCGAAGGTAAGCAGAAGGACTTGCTGGGGTCGAGGGCCAGACGACCCCAAAACAGCAAAGTGCCTTTGGTGCACTTGGCACTCTGTAGCCGTTCTCTGTGCAAAAAGAAGTCACACGCCTCTTTTGTGTATACCGTACCCTAACCATTAAAGAATATTACTGCTTACGTAATATTGCAATAATACGTTTTTTTTAAATTTTGCTATAAATAAATATTTGGTATGAATGAAAATAAAATATTTGTGGACTTGTTAAAAGTGGGTTTTGCAGCTTAAATTAGTATATCAACATATTTTTGTTTAACACAAAATTAGCATGTTGAAATTTACAAGTATTGTCTTTAACTAAATTCTTATGGAGAAAAATCTTGCAGAGAATTAAAAGATCACCAAGACAGTTTCCCTTGCTTCATTTTCTGTTATCTTTACACTTTTAAAAACTTTTTGTTTTCAACGTCGTGTGGAGAGAGCAGCTCTTAGATGTCTTAATATTTTTGCAAGAATGTTTGCTTGAAAAAAAAGGTTTTTGGCTTCTTTGCACGGATTTCGTCCTGTCACCTGAGCAGATTGAAAATAAGAATGGTTTTAGTACCCGATAACCCAACCGCAATACCTGCCGCACAAGAATCGTATATTGCTTGTCACTTGGCTCAAAATATGCGCTGATTGCGGTTAAGAATAACACCTTAGATAAACCCAAACATTTCAACTTCCGGCAAATATCTCTTCTCTATGCAGAGCTGTCACAGGTCAAATTAATGATCATTTCAGGTAAAAGCATTCAAACTTTCAAATTTCCAAAACCCGTATTTTTTGGCAAAACCATTTATCAATATTCTTATTTGCAGCTGGTTTGCTTAAGCTGGTTTGCAGTTTCCACATTGCGCAGCAGCTGTAAACATTGATACCTGCTTGCAAATAGTTTATGAGAAAGTAAAAGGTTCTATATTGTTTAAATCTAAGATACTATTAGGTTAAAAGGCTATTGACGAAATTGATTCAAATCGCGATGGCCAGTTACCATGGCCTACGGCCAAAAGAAATCTAGATGCTTATTCTAAAGCAGAACTTGAACCTGGATCCTTGTTCAGTTGATTGAGTGAATGGGTCACTTAACTGCGCTGAATACAAAATATCCATTCAAGTGCAAATTCATTTTTCAGTGCATAATAACCACAAGATATTTGCATTCTAATTTTGTTGTGGAATTTGAAATTGTCCAAATAGCAGCACCTGGTGCAAGTGATCTCATAAATTCGACTATGCGTACCATAGATATATTAAATGTTTAAATCATCAGTTTTCTAAACTAGATCTGTTCATAAAGCGATAAGACCAACAACACTTACAAAATTCAAGCAAGGGCCGACAAGGACAAGTGCACTTATTGTTAGTGTAAATGTATCTATGGCTAACATGGACATTGCATTTGTATGCGTGTGAACATTGCCGGATTTCTAGAAGCGTTTTCACGCTCACGAAAAAACCCGGCTACAAATACATGCACAAATATCCCAGAGAGAAACATTAATTATTATTATTATTATAGCAGCAGATACCGTTTGTGATATAAACCAGAATCACGTATACGCCGATCGAAACTATTAAGAAAACAAGATGCCAAACCGCGGGGCAATTATTGATAATTGAAACTGCTCGAATTATGGAATTTTCATTAACGTAAATTTCTATAAAATTTAACGCACTTCCTGACAAATGTTGTTACCGACTGCCATCAATTTTCCTGAAAAAGGGAATAGTGGAATAGGTATTAGGAGGCAACAGCCGTTGGCCAAAGGAGCGAAGAATTTAAAAGCGCTAATTATATTAAAACCAATTGTCGCAGTTCATTTCGTTTCTGTATATCAATTATATATGTTTATTTAAGTTTTACGTTCCAATGAAATTCAATCTGTGTTCTCAGAGGACGTTATGAGCCCAGCTTGCATATTGTTCCAAAAGCGTGAATTTACTTAGTTTCTTCCCTTCGTTTTCATTTTGTTGCATTTCTGCAAATAGTCCCAATGATGGCCAGTCTTAGTCCTCCTGTAATTAACACCAACGAAGCTGGGACCATTAAATAAAAAAAATTACTCTTAATTAGTGAGCAGAAGAAAGGATTTGTGGCTAC